TATATATACATATATATATATATATATATATACTTACTAAAGATATTCATAAGAATATTCACAGAAGCCCTAGTCATAATAGAGTATGATTACAATACTAGAATAGTAGATTCAAACTAGAAAAACACTTAAATGTCTATTTACAACATTATAGATTTTTTAATCATGGCATATTTATATAATAAAAATATAAACAGAACAAAAAAAACAAATACATATTAAACATGAATGAACCTCACACATAGATTATTGAGCAAAATCAGATAAAGCTAATTGATTTACATTAAATTTAAGAATTTTTGTTCCACAAAGGGTACCCTAATTAACATTGTACAGAGGATAGCACAGAGAAAGATTTGAATATTGGTCAAGATATTTGGGTTAAGACAATGTCAAAATCAGATGAGCAAATAGATGCATCATTTTGATTGTTTCCATCTGAAACATTTACCCAAATTCTTCCATCTGAGACACATCTAAGTGAATTGTAATTGTAGGAAGACCAGAGCAATGTTCCCAGGGTGATGGACAAGAGAAACACTCCCTGACAGTCGACAGTGGGACAGGAATTCCACCTGAAAACAACAATGCACGATCTCTCTATAGGGATTCAGACTCAATTAGTCTCTGCTCCCACTAACAAGAAGTCTGGGGCCTCTGAATCTAGTAAATTCTCCCACGAGGCCCATCAGGGGCCTCTAGTTTCATTTATTGTGACACTACAAATGTATACCACAGTTGCCTTTAACACTGAATTTCATTTTCATTTCTAAGAGCAAAAGGCTGAGTCTCCAGAAAGGGCTGTGATGTAAATTTGCCATTGTCCAAGACTGGTTGAGATCTGCTGGGTAAGTGTTGAATCAAATAGACCAGAGTTCAAGGCTGAGCTTTTCTACTTACCAGCTAGGTCACTTAAGACAAATTAATTTACTCCTTTATAGCTCAGTTCCTTATCTGAAATACAGTTTATCTTATAAAACTGAGAAAATCCAGTATGATGAGAAGAACATTTGTAGCATAGTGCTGGGACAGAATGTTAAGAGTCAAAACTTGCTAACTCTTCTTGCTATTATTGTCATTGTGGCAATCATTGAAATGTTTTGTCATTTGCCTGTAGCTAATAAATGACAGAGGTCGGTTTTACATCCTGGTCTGCCTTACTCCAGAGTCCCCATTCTTGACCACTAAGTCATTCCACCTCTTGTTATAGTGGGAAAAAAAAAAAATTAACTGTGTCTTTCTGGAATATCAAATCTCTTGACTGCTCTTTCCTCCTAGAGTGTTACATTCACTCTCAGAAGCTACATCTTAAAGATTTACACAAGGCTGTGATAGCCAGGATGCCACCTCTTTTTCCAGCTCTATGTGAATTTATATCTTCATAGCCTAAAATTAACTGGCCAAACTCAGTATCATTGACTCCAAGTTTTGAAAAGATAACCCAACTGACTTGGTTTGATTTGACTGACTCCACATTCAGTGATCTGTAACCAGAGGACCTGGGTCATGGTTCATGTAATTCTTCATCTTGCTCACTATTCTCCAGCCACAATGGTCTTCCCAATCTTTACCACCTTGGGAGTTTTGCATGTGCTGGAAAATGTATATCCTTACTCTTCCCACTTTTACTTTCGATATAGCTAGTTAGTACTCCAGATCTCAAATTATATTTAACTTTTTCTATGGAGTTTTCTCTCAACTCTAAATTAAACCTTCTATTTATACTTTCTCAATGATATCACCATATTTCTCCTTTGCAATACTAAACAGAGGTCCATACTTGAAGAGTTAATGGAAAATGAATATTATGAAAAGAACTAAGCATGAATTTCAATTTTCTTGCACCTGAATAAATGCATACTTTGATTCCACAAACCTTTTGAAGCATACTTATATGTTTCTTTTTTAAAATTGTTTATTGTCGGTCTTCTCAATCAGCCTGTAAGTGCAGGTGCTGTGTTTGTTTCAATTAACCTTAAATATCTGGTGTCCACAGGCACTTCTGGAATTAGGTAGGCAATGGTAATATTTGAATAGATAAAAAAATTATAAACATAGCTTCCTAGGCTTGCTGTGGAAGCATTCTAAAGGATGGATCTATTCCACAAGGTTACATTCCCCAAATAGTTAATGTTTATAATATCCTTGAGGAAAAAAATGAAAAGTATGCCTGCCTGATGAAGTGAAATTGTATCATGGACTATCTTCCAGGTTTGGTAGAAGAAAGATCTTAATTTCAATGGTGATTTATTAGCTGTGTGTTCTTAGGCTGGTCAGTTAGGCTCTCTTAGCTCTGTGTTTTCTGATCTGAAAATGTAGGGGAAAGTTATATAGCATATTGTTTGTGTGGATTAAATTATATAAGTCATTGTTACATAGTAAGCACATAGCAAATGATTTCTATATGTCTAATCCTACAAATTGTTTCTGAAGTCTTTGCCTTTTCCATTCTGTCCCTTTCTAGAAAAACTGAGTCATATTTTGGGCCCCCTCCTATCAATCTTAAGTTTTCAAGATATCCTGGGTATTCTACCATCTAAAAAATATTCTAGAGATTGTTTCTCAGGTATTTTTTAGCTGTATAACTTTGAAAGGCCATTCATAGAGTAAATCACTTTAAATCTTTCCTGTTTACTTTAGAGAATTTTAATACTTCACTGCTTTAATGCTAGCTGCCCTGTGCAGCTGGAGGAGTGAAAAGGCTTTACCTCTAAGGCTTGGCGCTAACACTTAAGGGTTCATGGACAAGTTACTAAACTCTCTAAAGCAGCCCAGATCCATCCCCTTCAGTCTACCTTCCCCACTACCACCCTGAGTCCTAAATGTGTTTCCTGCTGGCCTCCCTGCTGGTGCTGCTGTGCCTAGAAGCCGTCTCTACTCAATGGCAGAGTGGTATTTCCCTATCATAAATCTGACCATGATTGCCTGCTGCTTCACCACCCACCCACACACACAGATCTCTGCTTGTACTGAGAATAAAGTCCAAACTTTTGGGGCCGATCTGATGGTGAGGTGGTTAAGGCAGCTGAACCCCTCATAGCCTACTGTGTGGTTCAAGTCTCAAGCCTGGCAACTTGAAAACACATGGGAAATGGGTTATTATCTGCTGATAATAACGTGTATAGTATCCTCAACTGAACTGGTGTGAAGCATATTCATATTGGGAAAATTCACTTTATAAGCTAAGTGATGTATAGTGATTAATTGTATTAAAGAAATTAAAACAAAAAATATTAACGAAAAAAGAAAGAAAGAAAGAAAGAAAGAAAGAAAGAAAGAAAGAAAGAAAGAAAGAAAAAAGAAAGAAAGAAAGAAAGAAAGAAAGAAAGAAAGAAAGAAAGAAAGAAAGAAAGAAAAAGAAAAACACACTGGAGAAGGGATTGTGTGTGGCTATAATTTATCTCTCTCTATCTCTCTCTCTCTATCGCTCTCTGGTGAGCACATGTGCCCCATAGTAAAATTAAAAACAACAACAACAAAAAACATCCAAACCTACACTAACCTACTCCTTCTCACCTGCTCAACCTCCTCTCCTACCGCTGCCTTTTGCTCACCTTCCTTGATCCACACCTGCAGTCTTTCTTCCCCCAATACACATGCTCATTCTCAAATTCTCATTCACGGTTCCCAACATCTAAAACACTCTTCCAACTGATTATTTATTTAACTGGGTCCTTTTTATACATTCCTCTATAGTAAGTTACAACTTAAAATAATTTTCTAGCCATTACTATATTGGTTTCATACTAGCACTGGTTTTCTTGTTTTTGTGTCTGTTTATGAAACAATTTCTCTGAGTAGAATATTATATACATGAGGTAAGAAACCTTGCTATTTATCTGAGAACAGGAGCTGACACACAGTAAGCACTCGGTGAAGTGGAGCGAGTAAATGAGCAAGTTAGATAAGCAGAGATTAGTAGAAAGGTGAGTCACACACGTTAAAGCCAGAATTGCCAAGACTTAAACTTCTGCCTCTTTCAAAGAAACTCAGTTACTGCATCAATAAAATGGGCACAACAATAATGACCTCAAATACCTCAGAAGGCTCAGGTTCCAATAAGATCGTGCACAGATAATGTTCTGATGCTATCTTTATTTTATTATGTATTTCCATTGAGATAGTATTAAAGAAAGAAAAGTTTAACTGTCGTCTGCCATTTTCTTCTTTAAAGACAGCGCGACATGAAACCAGGAAATCACACCAGAGTCTCAGAGTTCCTTCTTCTGGGCCTCTCTGAGCATCAGGAGCAGCAGCCTTTCATCTTTGGCATCTTCCTGGGCATGTACCTGGTCACTGTGGTGGGGAATAGTCTCATCATCTTGGCCATTGGTTCTGATCCACGCCTCTACACCCCCATGTACTTCTTCCTGGCAAACTTCTCCCTCACTGACTTATGTTTATCATCTACTACAGTTCCCAGGATGCTGGTGAACACCCAGACTTGTGTACATACTGTTTCCTATGCTGGATGCCTGTCCCAGATCCATTTCTTCCTGTGGTTCATTGGTCTCGATGTTTTCCTCCTGGCAGTGATGGCTTATGACCGGCTTGTGGCCATCTGCTATCCCCTTCACTACTCCTTGGTCATGAGTCCCAGATGCTGCACCCTTATGGTGGGCATGTCCCTAGTCCTTGCACACTCGTACTCTCTAACTCACACCATTCTGCTGGCTCAGCTGTCCTTCTGCACTGACAACACCATCCCCCACTTCTTTTGTGAGCTTCTTCCTCTGCTGAAGCTCTCTTGTTCCAGTACTTATGCCAACCAGTGTGTGTTGATGTACTGGGGAGGGGCGTTAACCATCTTGATCCCCTTGCTCATAATTCTGTCCTATATTCGCATTGTGGCTGCCATTGTGAAAGTCCCGTCAGCGAGTGGGAAGTGGAAAGCCTTCTCTACCTGCAGCTCCCACCTCTCAGCAGTTTGCTTGTTCTATGTGTCTGCTATCGGGGTATACTTCATTCCCTCTACTGCAGATTCAGCCAGCAAGGACAGGATTGCAGCAGTGCTGTATGCTGTGGTGACCCCCATGCTGAATCCATTTATCTATGGCCTGAGAAACAAAGATATGAAGAGTGCCTTGAGGAAATTCCTGAGCAGGAAAGTAATGCACTCTTCATGAGGCCAGAGACGTCATTTTGGGGATTCAGAGGAAATCATCTTGTAGCGTTATCTTGGCACCTACATGCAAACCCTAGATCTCCAACTTGCTAGTTTTCCAAGCTAAGACATATCAAACAATCATATTGAGCCTTAATTTCTTCATTCATAAAAGGGATTAGTAAGATGGTCTTTATGATGCAGTGCTTCTGATCACACACACGCACACACACGTCCCTATTTCGTATCTTCTGTTTAGATCTTCATTATCATCAGTAACATTCAAAATATTCATTTAAGGTAAATATTTTCACCTTTGTTACTGTATAGAGGAGAAAACTGAGATTCAGAGAGGTCAAATCACTCACCTGAAGTAACACTAGTAAGTGGAAGAGTTAGAATCTGAACCTGGATGTCTGATTCCAAACTACGTGCTGTTAATGATTACAGTATGCCCAAAGGACAAGAAACATTGATGGTCCTCTCCATTATTAGTTGTCTTTCTTTTCTCCCCTACCCCAACAATATTCTCACAAACTAAGCAATAAATCAACAATTTTTCTCAGTATTAGCAAATAATTTAAAGATGGTGCAAGGCAAAAAGAAGCTAAAGAATACAAGTATAACAGTCTACAAAAATTCTGATATCTTCCCAGGGGAGTACACTCTCTGCTTGAGTGTAAGTCTCTTGTGAGATATTCTGAATGACTTATGAATCAGGCCACGTGATCACAGATAAGGATATTTGAGCCACATTATTCTGGGTGCTCACTGACTTTATTTTACTGAACCATTTCAGCACTATGTCAGCCATTTGTGTTTATACCTATTTCCAAAACCAACTTTATCAATTTCATTATTGCATCCTCTCTAGGTGTGCTGTTAAGGATATAGTCTAACAATCTACAGAGGATTTTTTTTTCAATAATCCACAAGTTAAATTTTGGAGCTTATATTATGTCCATTTCCTTTCTACATAATTGTAGTTTAATCTCTACTGAGATCAAACTAATATACTCAGATTTTTCAAGTAGATTTAAAATGAAAACGAGACTTACATTGGAGTTAGAAAACCCTCAGCTATCACTCACCACCTGTGTGACTTTCAGCTAGCTGTCAACATCCCTATCAGTTTTCAAATACAAACAAGTGGATGGTAATGATAACTAGGGTAACTATCATCTAAGACTGTTATGAGAATTCAAAAATAACACGTAAAAAATGCTTAGCACAGTTTCTGATTCGTATGGTGTAATCTGCAAATTCTGCTTCAAACACAAATCATACCAAATTTTCCCTTATCTTCCTTTCCCTTCTCTTTTCTTCTCCTCTCTCTTCCTCCCCTCTTTGCCTCTCCCCTCTCCCCATGCTCCCATCTCTCTTATCTACCTATCATCTTTTTAACTATCCATATCTTTATCCCTCAGCATGACCTTTTCCATTTTAAATCCACAGAGTGGTGTGTCCACGCTAACACATTCTAGTGAATGACTCGCTGGTCTCAGGAAATTGGCCTCCAACCTTAAAAAAATAATGGGGACTAGGATGTGTCTTAGCCCCGAACCTCCTCCTCCTTCAGTGGCTCATGCAGTCACAGCTCTCTGCCACTACCCATGGCTTCTGGATGCTAACCAGGATAACAATACCAGCCATAAATCTCTGACTTTACCGCTGCCAGTCTAACTAATGCCAATTTCAGTGTTCCTACTTCATTTTTAGTGTCAGAGGAGCAACAAAATCATAAGCATACACTAACAATGAATGAATGGGCAGAGAGCACGTTAAGTGGCAGTTCCAGTATGTGTTCATTGTAGTACTGACTACATCAAGGACATGGTTGGGAGATCCTGAGATCAAGAAATTTAGGTCCCCTTATGAGCTCACTTACAGAGCAACAGCCTCTTGTTTTTCTTTCTTGACATAAACCTGAACCTTTTGCATCCTATTTGCTTTGCTTTGAAAAGCTTGTCTTATATTCTGTTTTACACGACTGGTCCTAACTTTAAGACCCATGGGGAATGTTACCTGGTCTGTGAGTTCTTCCTATATCCCTCTATCCAGAGGAAATAATTAATTCACTCCTGTAAGGACTCAGACCTTTGTAATCTTCTCTATATAACATTGTTTCAGAGATATATACATATCTTTTTATACACTTCCTTTTTTAACCATAATTTTAGATGTATAAGGGTAGAAAACATTTTGTCAAGTAATGTAATTAAAAGAATGTGGTACTAATGAATAAACACACAAACAGATAAGTAGAATAGACTAGGAACCCCAGAAATAAAAACTTAGTGTTAAAGACAGAGCTTCCCATCACTAAGTACAAAGATGCATTGTTTAATAAATGGTGCTGGGATAATGACTTAGTCATTAAGGGGGGAAAAGCTATTCCATTCAATATAATGTACACATACATCAAAACATCACTTTCATATACTGTACATACATACAATTTTTATTTGCCACTTAAAATTATATAGACAGATAGATGTCACTGTATATAAGAATAATAATATTCAAATATAACAGGGATCAAAATGTAAGAACTGAGGGCCCAGTCAGTAGTGTAGAGGGAACGTACATCAAGAGATGTTCACTCAGGTGGAAGGTTGCGGGTTCATCTCCAGGTTCACCTGTAAATGTCAGGCATTGTGTATCCATGATCCTGATTATCTTGGGTGGTGGGTCATGGAATAAGACCCTGTTGAGGATGTTTTTCTCTCTCTTTCTTTCTCACTCTCATGAAAGAAAGAAACAAACTTTTTAAAAATGTGAAAACTGAAACTATCCATGTCCCAGAAGAAGATACAGTGAATTCCTTAACTTCAGTGTAGACCACAACTGAATTAAATTGGAAACCAACAGGTCATGAAACTTTGAAAAATTTGGCTATATAAAAAAATTAAATTTTTATGGCACAGAAAACTGTAACAAAATAAAAGACAATTGGCAAATGAAAAAAAAAAGTGTTGGTAATATGTATCACAAAGGGCTAACACAGAGAACTCTTCCAAACTGAGGCACATATGAAGTAAAACACAATCAAAAAATGAAGACCTGATTTCCAAAGACACCTTAAAATTTTTCTCAAATGAGACCAGCAAGCGGCATTGTGGCTAAGGCACTGGACTCCCAACTGACCAACCTCAGACCCAGATCTGGTGGCTTGAGAATCACGCTGGGCCTGTATGTGTGTGTGCCCAAAATCCCAAGAGGAGAATGGAGTAGAAGGAACTGTGGCATGACTGTGCTCTCTTGGGGTGATTTCTCACTTTCCCTCTCACTATCTCTCTTTCTCTCTCTGGTGAGCACACACGCCCTATGGAAAAAAACTAAAAAAAAAAAAAAAAAAAGAAAAAGAAAAGAAATTATTTTTAAATCATGAATAAATATTTAACTCCACCCATAATTAGATAACTACAAGTTAAAACTATACTAACATATTATTATTTACTAATAGGTTGGTAAAAATTTTAAAAGACAGCAACACAATCTGTGGGTGACGTTGTGGAGAAACATTCTCATATATTGCGGATGGCAATGCAATACAATCTCTAGGTATTTGCAATATTGACCAAACTACACCATCACTTAACTTTTCTACGTAAATTAGTACAGCCATTATGAAAGACACTGTGGTAATTCCTCAAAAAACTAACATACAATTACCTTAGAGCCAGAAATTCTACTACTGGGTATATTTCCAAAGGGGAAAAATATTAGTATGTTGAAGAGATACCTGCACTCTTATGTTTCAGAACTCTTCACAATAGCCGACATAAGACATTGACCTTAGTGTCGATTAATGGATGAATAAATAAACAAAATGTGATACACACAATGAAACATAATTCGATCATACAAATAATAACATCCTGTCATTTATGGCAACATGGATAAACCTATAGGAAATTATGTTAAGTGAAATAATCCAGGTACCAAAAGACAAATACACCATGATCTCATTCATTTGTGGGAGCTAACAGATTTGATCACATAGATGTGGAGAGTTGAATGGTGGTTACCAGAAGCTGGGAAGGAGAGGAAGAGGAAGAAGAGAGAAACTTGCTTAGCAGATACAAAATCGTAGTTAGATAAAAGAATTCTAGAGTATTAAAGCACAGAACAGTAATGATGACCAATAACAATTTACTGTATATTTTTATATAGCCAGAAGAAAAGATTTCAAATATTCACAACACAAAGTAATAATAAATGTTTAAGATTGTTGGTGTGAAGCAAGCCAGGCTATGAAGGAGAGACATTGTATGTCCCAACTTAATATATACCAAGTGTCTGCACTCTATGACTGAAACTGATGGGTTAAAAGATGTACAAACTCAAGAGATGGGTGTGAATGCCAGATGTGGTGTGTGTGGAGGAGTGGGGCCTGGGGAAGGACATTTGGAGGAGAGATACGAAGACAGAGCATTGTCGGGACAAGGAGGTAGTGTTATATTTTGATCAACTGGACCGGGGAGAAATGTTCACATATTGAAACGTTCACTTTCTAAGCTAAATAATGCGGTTGAATGTATAGAAAAAAAGTAAATAAATAAATAGATTTTAAAAAATAAAAAAAGAAACCCTCTTCCAATGAAATGTTAAGAATTAACTTTTTAAAAAAAGATTGTTGGTGTGTTTATTGCCTTTATTTGATAATTACTCAGTGTGTGTGTATGTGTGTGTTTGTGTGTGTGTGTGACAGAGGAAGAGGGGGGAGAGAAATCATGCTGTACCCCATAAATATGTATAACTATTTAAGAAGTGTAAAAAATTAATAAATACAATTAAATTTAAAAATACACCATGTCATTATTAACTACAGTCACCCTGCTATTGAAGAGATCTCTTGAATTTATTCCACCTATCTAACTATAGTTATGTATCCTTTGACCAATATTTTTCCATACCCTGCTTTATCCACCCATTCCAACTTCTGGTATCCTGACTACTCTCTACTCACGTGAGATCAACTTTCAGAAATTCTACATATGAATGAAATCATGGTACATG